TAAGTTGAATTTACTTGTCTCCAAATCTACTTGTCACTAGGCTAAACCATAAATTACCATTCCTGGTTCTGTATTTTATTTATTAATGCATTTTTAATAATATATGGTTAATTAGGATCTATTTTAAGCTTACAAACAAATAAATTTTACTTTTTAATATAGTACAGAAAAAGTAATCTAAATTTACGAATGCATGTACTGTAAATACAGTACATACTTGTAAATGTATTTATTTTAATATGATTTTATGTGCTTTAAACATTTTTCTAGTGATATTACGACTTCAATATTTGTGGCGGACAGACGTAAAGTCGAATAAAATGACTTAAACTTGATTTTTATTTTTCCATATACTTTTTTGACAAACGACGTATAATCGGGANCTAGTGATATTACGACTTCAATATTTGTGGCGGACAGACGTAAAGTCGAATAAAATGACTTAAATTTGATTTTTATTTTTTCATATACTTTTTTGACAAACGACGTAAGTCGCGGTATACCTGTATATGTTATATCAAAACAGCAAAAAAAAACTACACATTACTTGTGGAATTTCATAAATTGATACTATTCAAAAATGGACCATAAAGGTTCTACTAAGTTTGAATAAATTAGAAAATATCAAGACTAAATATATTCACATTCAGATTATGATAGTAGTTGTAGATAATTTAATAGGGAGTAATATGACTTTTATAATAAGATGCCAGATACACTGTACTGCAGTGCTCAAAATATAATGTTATAAAATCCAATAAATACAAACATTTGTATTTCTACAAACTCTGCTGTCAGATTAATTATAATTTTTGTAGAGTATTTATAAATTTGAGTAAAATTATTATTTATTTTTTTTTAAATTACTGTTTTAAATGCTAAACATCTATATAAAAATTTGGAAGCAAATTGTCACATTTGACAATTTTTGGTCTAATATATGACTCATGTTTATATTCTACTATGATTTCATAATAATGATGATAATTCCAACAAATTCTAAACACAGTAAAGCATCCTTTACACTTCTCTTAAGGAACCTGTCCAAAAAGAAATATAATTAAAAGGACATATCTGGCCTAATTGAAATTTGAGTTGAGTTGCATGACAAAATGATAGAATTAATCATTTTTATGACCAACTCATAACTGTTAATGAATGTTTCAACTTTTAACCTTTATATTATATCTTTATTATAAAAAACAGTAATATTTTTTTATTACATATTTGAAGCTGCAATGATTAAGTAGATGTAATTTGTGTAATTGGTTAACAGTAATAAATTCCAAAATAATTTTTTTACATATTTAAAACTCAAATGCCATGGTAATGGGTAATGTACTGTCTTATACAATTTTTTTTTTTTAATTTTAGTATATCCATTAAGAATTAATAGTAATTCTATGTTAGAATAATTAAGAATTGATGTTGAAATAGTTCCTGAAATAAACTTATTTCCTTAAAGGAACATACTTTGTTTATGAACTTTGTTTTTAACAAACTGTAAGGGGAAAAGTTTCAAAATCTTTTGCACCAGAAATTTATCCAAATTAACATGTTTGTAGGATCTATGAGCACTAAGTTTTAGGCTCTATGGAGGACTTGTCACACACTATATTTAAACCTGAAAGAAATATTACCAAATGCAAATTATACAAACATTTAGAAATGACCAAAATCCCTGATAATGTAAGAATAAATAAAAACATGGATATAACTAGATCTTATCTGGCATCCTTACTTAAACATCTGAAACTTATTAGACAGCAGGTAATACTTATATCATCAAAACCAGATATAACTTTACAGTAGCTCCATTTCTGTAGTAGAAAACATTGTTTGTACAAGCTGACTGATTGCAAAAACATATGTAACCTTTCTTAAAACAGCTCTTACTTTTGTAATTGTAATTTTGTTTATAATTTTGTATTATGTTTGTTTCCGTAGTTTATTTACTTCACAATTAATTTCATTAAGCAACAATTATAATCTCTGGTTGCTTATGGCAACCAGAGATTATATTGCTCTCCATTAGTAACAAAATAGAATTTACCTTTTAAGTATGTATAAAAAATGTAATTTTGAACTGTTTTAATCATAAATCCAAATGTTTGTAACAAAAAATCACTTGTATTTTGTAGACTACTGTAAACCCACCAAATTGTAACAAATTGACTGAAGAGGGATAGACAGCCTGTCCGAAATGCATACCGTTGTCATAATAAACCTGTGTCTACCTATTTCTGTGTGATTACTCTGACAATGTCAATAATGTATGATAAGTCCTCCATAGAGCCAAAACTTAGTGTTCATAGATTCGTATTATAATATAAGGACAAAAAGCAAATCATCAATGTTTGTAGGATATTACAAATATGTAGGCTTTCCCTATATTTTGGTCACATCTTTTCTATTTCTATTTTCTTTTTCATTTTTTTTTAAGGCAATAATCTATTGTTACTCCTCATTCACTGAGAGATAATACATTCAGTATTAAGATTAAATTTTTTATTTAATATGCATACAATAAGCATTCACAAATAAAAACAGGCTTCAATTTTTACTATTTTAAGTATTAAGTCTGAAAGTCAGTTACTGAAGATATATTTTAAGAACAATTGCAGTTGTTCCAAACTGGTTTTAATTGTTCTTAAAATATATATTGGTTAACTGACTTCTGCATCATCTTGCAAAACTTTATTTAATTTTAATTTAAACTTAAATTTTATATTCTAGAAGACAATTTTTTTTCTTTCTTTTCCAAACTGATTAATTATAGAGCAGTTTACTTTATAATTTAAAAATTTCACTGATTACATCACCTGGTTGTTATAGGCAATTATAAATTTGTATGAAACGATTGATTTTATACAAAGTGGTACAGACTGTATGCATGCTAATTAGAAATTATCTGTATTCTTTCCTTCATTTTTTTTATTAATTTTAAATTTTTCTTCTGTTTTAAAAGCAATCTCAGAGCTATTTTTAGATTTGTTATATAGTAACTGTTATATTGCAGAATTGAGAATTTTTTCTTCAGTGTCTTGAATTGCATTGGTTATGGATCTAAACACAAGTACCATAATTGCCTTCTCTTCTGTTGTATATTCATTGATGTTTCACATATGAAATTCATACAAAAAATAATAATAAATTAATCTAGGACATAATTATATATGTAGTGAGTGTTTATGACCAATTTGTACAGGTCTAAGTTTTATTAGCATTATTGTATAAAATAAAATTAAAAACACTAAATAATATTATCATGTTGACACTATTGTGTAATAATTATAATAATTAAAAAAATATTTTAAAGTTTAACGCTTAATTTTTGTGAGATGAATCTGTAAATATTGTTAGTAGGGATTGAGAGAAGTAAGATAGGATCTAATTCAATCTTAACTATGAAGCACATCACACTCTAAAATCCATAAAATATACAAAAAAAAAAAAAACACTGAAAAAGCAAATAAAATAGATTTTTTGCCACTTATAAAAAAAACTATTTTATATTTATTAAACTAAGCTATTTTTATGTAAAAGATTAAATTTTGGAGTTCTGCATTTGGGATTCAGACCAAATGGTCAAGCTCAATGGCCTGGCTTGCTCTTTTCTGTCTGGCTTCTTTTTGTGTCTGTAGGAATATACTTTATTATTTAAACCATATTGTTGCTTTAATTTGAAAACAAAAATATTGAGTGAATAATATTACAGAAATTCAAGCAGTATAGCAAAATAATAATAATTATATAATTTATTCAATGCCAAAAGATTATATTAAAGTAAATACAGAGCCAGAAATTCTCAAAAGAATCTAGTTCTGATTTTTTAATTTTTCTCTTACAGATTTGATTTGGCTTTTGCTAAAGAATTAGGTATTATTTTATAAATGAATGACACATGTATTAACTATTTATTACTCATGCTTTCTGAGAATTAACATGATCAATATTACTTCCTCATGACAAGAAAATAAAAATTGAATTCTACATTTATCTCATTTTCTTTGAAGAATTATTATTTGTATGAGTCAATTACTATTCAGATGATTCACATTTTGAAATGTTTACATTATTTTAACAATTATTTTTCAAAATTTACTTTATAGAAATTAATATAATATAAAATATTAATAATTAAATTATTTTTCTAGTAAAACTGTGGAAAAACATTTATCTGAAATTATCAATGCAATGGGAGAAGCTTCTGCTCAGGTATGATTTTAATAAGTATTTATGTAGTCTAAAACTATTTTTCTTATCAAAGTTTAATATAATGAAATGCCATTTTAATAAATATCAAAGTTAAATTTTTAAATAATGATTTTTGAAGTTATAACTTGATGATGATTTTACAAAAATATTCTAAATACTTATAGCACTATACCTTATTAATTGTACAGTACATTACGAAAAATAATTTATGTAATAAAAGTTTTTCCTTTAACAGAGTAAAAATTAAACACAAAAAATAAGAAAAAAAAACTCATTAATTTGAACCTGCACTACTGTGAACTTCACTTAAACTGAACTAAGTATTTATTTCACTGCTAAATGTTCCAGCAACAAAAAATAATCAGAAACTATCTATTTTTTAAAAAACATAATGAACTTATAAAATTGATGTTTTTGCATTTTATCATAAATATATAATTACAGTCAGAACACTAATGACTTCTTGAATCTACAATAACATTTTTATTTTTATGAATATGAATTTGTTAACAATTTTAGGAAGGAAGAAATTTTTTATTTAAGTAAAAATTAATAAATTATATAAATTATTGTCTGTATTTTTTTCTTTAATATAACCCTGCTAATTTAAATTTCTCTCTAAACTAAACAACCCAGTACAATAATTAGTTCAGATTAGCAAGTGCATACTGTAGTTTGAACATAACATTCATATTCAGAGGTTTAATCTTGATATTCTGAAAAATATTCTGTTGCTATGGGAACAAAAGTTTAAGTAAAGAATAATCATCTGATGGGTTCATCCATAATAAAGTACAGTACATAACTTTTACATAATATTTTTGAACTTTTCAACTATAGGCCAACTTCCTATAATGCCTCATAACACTTGCTCATATCAATCCCAAAATTACATAATACACATCATCAATCAACCTTCTTAATTGTACTAAGGAACAATACACAGCATGGGATACTGAGTATTACATTACTTTATTAATTCTATGTAAAACACAAAACTGACATAAACAGTACTGTTTGTTATGCAGCAGTTCCTAAATGAAAATGAATTATTTTTTTTACCCAACAGTTGAGCATTGAATAACATTTTTATAATTCCTCCACTCTCTTGTAATGCATTATAATGATTACCTGCATATCTACCCACCCATATCTGCATTACATCATTTATGGACAGCAGCCCATTGCTATGCTGTTCTTTACTTTTCTTGTTTCTATAGCAACAGAATGTCTTTTAAAGTTTCTAATGATGAGTGTTAAATTCAAAAATACTTGAATGCATTTCTTGTTGTTTTGTTTAATTTTTAATATGCTAAAAGCAAAAGTTTTTCTTATTAATCTTATAGTGAAGTTATATTAGTTTTTAAGAATTATACAACTTTGAAAATGAAAAAAGCTTTGTAGTTCAGAAAATTAATAATAATAATTGTCTCTCCAGATACTTTTATTTTTTGCTTATAGAAGTTAGTTGTTGAGTGATAAGTATTGAATTATATTATTTAGAATCTTTCTTTAGTACCATGTTTGAAATATTATTATATAATAAATTGTATTTTATAATTTTAATTAATTTAATACTTCTCCAATAGGCACAAAATTTACAAGTTGCAATTACTACAGAGGAAAAATTAAGATTTTCAGATCATCGACTTTATATCATGGTGGATGAAGAAGCTAATGAGTATTTATTATTTTATTACTTTAAAATACAAGTAAATGAATCTATATAAAAGATAATGAACAAATTGATTTTAATTATAAAATTTTGAACCATAGACTTTATATATTAACTATTTATATTTTAATGTTTGATTCTAGAAAGATTATTATTTAAAAAATAAGATTTATGACTATTCCAAAAATATGTATAGTTAAAACACTTTTTATAAAGAAATTTTATTCAAAATAATTGATATTTTTCCCACTTAGTTGTACAGTTGATTCTCAATAATGCAATAAAAGAGGAAGGGATAGAGAAGAATTTCTGAGTTAAGGAAGTTACCATTACTTTAATGAGATCATAAGCATTCAAATACAAACAATACAGTTAGTCTTAAATGTGTTATACTTTTGCTGTTTCACAGTTTTATACATATACAAGATAAAAAATATTTATACTAGTCAATAAAAGTCCATTAAGTGAGCTTACTATTAACAGTCTATTGCTTTTTGCTCAACAATGTCTTAGATGTGTTCAATTGTTTCAAAAATATCTTGTTACAAATTTGATGTAACTTGTAGAAAGCCTTTTTGAAAATTTAAAAAGAGTGCTAACTATAAAATTTGACTGGCTAATTTGCAATTAAAAATAGAATTACTTTAGGTGTGAAATGCTCTTAAATTTTTTTTGTATTTTTTGGCTCCAGAGGTACTAATATGTCAACTATTATAATATGTTCCTTCAAGTGTACATAATTAAATGTTTGATTTTATTTCACATTTGTCTTAATATCAATTTAATGTGACCAATTGAAATGCAACAGAAACACAATATCAGACATGAAATAAATTCACTAGCATTCTAGATTTTGAGTTATCAAATGTAAGATACATAAATCAATGCATTTTGACTGATAGAGACACAAAATACATTGAATTTATGGAAGTTATGTCAAGACAAAAATAATATTCAACTTAACAAGAGATTCAACTAAAGGTGAGTTATCTATAGTGAACTGCTTAGAATCAATATGATACTGAATAATACATTCTCAAGCCCATTCCTAGTCTATCTGTCTATCATTTTCTGTCTATCATTTCTCAATTTCATACAGTTGTTCTTTTTATTTGTATTAACTTTTAGTTTACATTATATAGCTTATAACTATGTTTTGTAGATATTTTCATAAAAAATTACTCAGATAAAAATTGATGGTGCAATTTTTTTAAATTAGCTCTATTAACTTTTTGATAGAGCTAATTCATTCTTAATTGACATTGATGTTTAAGATATATATAAAATAAAAAATATTTATTGCTTATTGGACTGGTTAATGTGCTGTAAGATTTGATTGGTGTTATTGTTCAGTATATTAAATATTAAAGTTTCAATATACAATAGAACCTCGATTATCCGGACCTCTATTATCCGGATTTTTGATTATCTGGATTGTTCAAAATAAACAAAAATTTTATGAATTTGCTGATTTGCACTTGGCGAATTACGATACTGTTTATGTATGTGATGGAATGCATAATTTTTTTTTGTTTCAACAATGTCTCACCCGGCACAGTGGCCGTAAACTCTTAAATATATTTTGCATCATAATAAAAATATAACTTGACATATGTATTTATAAAAAATTTTATTTTCAAATTACATCATTTCTATGATCAAGGGCAGCGTAAGGCATGGGCAACATGGGCCATCGCCTATGCCTCGCGGTCTGAAGGGCCTTGCGTTTCAAAGGTTTATGCATTACTTAAAAGCCGCGAATGCGACGAAAAAATTTTACTCGTCATAAAACGATAAATAGTTTGTCAAATTTTTATTCATAAAAATGCAGTTTCAACTGCTTTTTATTTTATAAAATCCGTATTCTTGAGCTGCCAGAGGGCCTTTTAAACAATAGGTAGTCTGTTAGTGTTGGTCAGTAGTAGTCCAAATTAAATACGAACGTTTGTTTCTTAAAAATTTGATCACAATTTAAATACAGTATTTACTTTTAATATTGCTGATATGTCATCGAAAAGAAAACATGTTGTATTATCATTAAAAGACAAATTAAAGTATTTGTTTTGATTATCCGAATTTTTCCTTATCCGGACTACTTTCATCCCCAATTAGTCCGGATAATGGAGGTTCTACTGTATTAAAGTGGTATGGCAGATTACAATTTCATTCATTAAAAGTTCCTGATATGCAGTCAAGTCAACTATTTGAGTGAAGGATGGACAATGACATCTTAAGTATACAGTTGACCCCTCTATAACACTGTTGATAATTCCGTTTTATATGAATTCCATGTTGTACGAGTCACTTAGATTTTACAAATATGTGAGCTGTTCACAGCCCGGCACACATATTTGTAAAATCTAAGTGGCTTGTACAACATGGAATTCATATAAAACGGAATTATCAACAGTGTTATGGGGAGGGTCAACTGTAAATGATAAATCTTTGTCTGAAAAAGGTTCAAACTTGGATCCTTCATAGCAATAGAATGATATTTTATTGCTCCATCTATAGTTAATGTATGCTGTATGAATACAACAAATGCAACATAATACAACAGCAAACGCAGTTGGACTTGTATGCTGATATTGTTTCTACTTCATGAAAAATTGATTGAATAGAAAATAAAATACATATAAAATTGATTGGACAGACAATGGAAATAATTATATATAACATAAATTTATTATTTATCAACAAGTAATTTACATTTAAAAATGTTTGAGGAAAATTTTATATTAAACATAAAATTCAGATCATAAATAGAATTTGTAGAGTATAAATCAATAAAAAAATATTTTAAAGCAATAATTTTATAAATATTTTAGTAAATGTTATCTTGAGTTTTCAATTTAATTTACTATTAAATTTATTTTTTTAGTGACAGAGGTGCAGTTGTTGGTATTTTAAAAGTTGGATATAAAAATTTATTTATATTGAATAGAGAAGGCAAACTCTTTGAATGTTTCCCTCTCTGTGTGCTTGATTTTTATGTGCATGAATCAAGACAGAGGAAAGGATATGGTCATGTTCTTTTTGAAAGTATGTTAAAGGTGAGAAAGAAATGTAGTAGCAGTAATATATTTTTTAATGTTTAAAATTCTTTCTGGTTTTATAAACAGAGTGGTACACAAAAATATTTATTTTGAAAAACCATAGTTTCTTCTTAAATTAAGATAGTGATAAGTAACAAGTCACCAGTAAGTTGTAATATCAATGATGGATATTGAATTTTCTGAAATCTTAAGTACAAAGAAATTTTACAGTCTGTTGTGGTGTTAACAAAATACATTGATAAGTTACTCCAAAATTATTGAAGGTCATAATGTTTTTATTTTTGTGGGAAAATTAATTGAATATCCTATCAGTTTACAGAAAAAATGTTTAGTGTTAAGAAATTCATTGAAAAGTAAGGCTTTTCTTCACATAATGTGCTATTATATTCCTTGAATTTCACATTCATTTATATGGTTTCAGCACATAGAACTATAGGTACTGAAGTTGGAGAAAATTAAAGAATATTACAAAATAATTTGCTAAAGTATCATTATGCTTTTCATCATAATAACTTAAATTTTCCACAAATCACAGAATATGGCATGGACTTTTGCCAGTTGTGAAGATGTTGAAAATATTTGTATGACTAGAATTGGTGAGAGCAAAGAATAAGAATTAACTTAATACAAAAGCAAATTTATACATCAACTGAGAGAAATTTTCAACTTGAATCACTGAAAATACAGCTTTATATTTCAGAAGTATTCATAGAAGTATATGTTGGTCATTTTAAACACATCTCATTAAAACTTTTATGAGATGTATTGATTTGTTCAGAAAAGGTATTTGATATGAATTTGAAAGTAAAATAAAGTGGACTTTTTTTATTTTAAATTGAATTTGAAAATAAAATAAAGTGGACTTTTACCTGTATAGTATTGTAAAAAAAAAGTTTGAACCATAAATTAAATTATTCATTATCAGTTATTTTCTATAAAATATATATATAACACAAATCATGTTTAATTAAAGAAAAAGAATGAGATATATTAATGAAAGTCTGACCATAAAACAATGTTTTAACACTTGAAATTTATGTTCATTTTTTATAAAGCTGAAAACTTTTGTCTGTTTCACAACTGTTTTTAACTACTAAAACCATGTCTACATTAAGTAATTAGGTTTACTGTCATTTCTTTCTTACTCAGTCTCTTCCTTCTATATTTATTTGTTTTTATACTTTTTTCTATTATTTAGTTGTGCCATTAAGAGATCCTAGTGCTTCCTGTCTACCACTGTGAAAATATTTCTCTGAGTTTATATTTAACACCAAAAATACAGAGATGCACATCATCATCATTTCAGATGAAATGTAAAGTATTACATTCTTTTGCCTATATTGTTATATTATACCTTATACCAGACCTTAATGGAAAAAGGTGCTATATTTGTATCATTAAATGAAAATTTACTGTTGTTGTTGCTTGTTTATGAAGTATTAAATAACTGCTTTGATTGTTCTAATATAGACATCATACAAAAATTTGTTATTCTCTGGAAGTAATCTATATAAAGCAGACAATAAATATGTTTGTTATAAGTTAATCTTATGCAATATATTTTCATTCAATAACAACAAATATTAAAAATATTCTTTTGGTCAGCTATTTTGCATCTACTATTTAGGAAAATAAAATATGAACAATAAATCATATATTTTTTACCATATCCCAGCATACTATAGATCATACTTTTCTAAATATGTGATCATTATTGAATCTATAATAACTCAGAAAATATAAAGTCAATTCTTTTAACATCAAATTTTTTTTTCATTTATACATTTTATTTAAAAACAAACTTTTATTCAAATCATCACCCATGAAGTATAACTTTCTAAACCAAGGAAGCTTGCCAATTGTACAAGGGCTGATAATTTAATTTGTGGAATAATGCTAAAATTTTCCTTATTGACATATTTCTTATCTGTTGATTCATCATGCTTAAATTACTCTCCATTGACTTGTATTCTCCTCTGCCATATCCATACCTATGCATTATATGCTTTCTGAAATCTATTTTTGGCAGAGTCAAAGAGTTGTTGTGATTGACTTCCTTATCATATGAAAAGTACTACCAATTTAGAAAATTTTTCAGTTGCAGAAACAAGAAGTCGCATGGTGCTAAAGCCTGGGAGTATGGGCATATTATGGTTAGCATTGTCATGATATTGAAACCATTTCACATTAGTAAGTTCTGAATATTTTTCACAAATGGTGCAATCAAGTTCTTAGAATCTTAGCATATTTAGAATTTCTTATTCAGAATTTTTTTCTTGAGGAACACAAATGAAATAAGGACTTTCAACATAGTTTTTACTTTAAAACTATGAAAGACTATTAATAAAAGATCTTCAAATAAAATTAAGACCAACATGAACTGATCAGTATCCTTGGAGTCTAATCACAAGGATACCAACAATATATTTTCCCATATATTTGGTTAAGAAGAACAAAATTAAAACAATTTCACAAATTAAATGATCATACCTTGTGAAGTGATAGTGATTCTGTCTGCCTTAATAGTAAATTTTTATTTCATATCCAAGTAACTGTTTTTAGAGTGCAGAGATAATTGTAAACATTGATTACAAATATGATAGAATTTATCAAATTAGTTAATAACTATTACATAATCATAAGTTCAATATGGGTTAATCATTGGGTCAATAATTTCAATATAATCTAGATAGTAACATGGGTTTTTTCAGTATCCTGAAAAAATCCATGTCACTGATCTTGGTTATATTGATTAAGAAATAACGATAATTTACTACTATTTATTAAATCTAATATCTTTACAGTTATACTGAGTGACAATGTAATTGTTTTTATTAAATATTTAGGAGGAAGACGTACGCACTTGTCATATGGCTGTAGATAGACCGTCTGCTAAATTTCTTACATTTTTAAAGAAATTTTATTTACTGGAAGATCCTATTCCTCAGACAAACAATTTTGTCTTATTTGATGAATTTTTTATTAATAATCCAGGTATAGTAGAAACATATCTTAATTAATATATAAATTAATTCAATTTTTTATTGTATGAACCTTAGTTCATTACAAGGGGTTAAAATATTACATAAAAACTGAAGTTAGTACAGTTTAACAAATTATTATACCATATTTACTCACATATAAGGCAATCTCACATATAGGATAAGGTATGACTTTACAGATCAAAATAGAACAAATTAGATTTATTAATACAGTTCTAATTTTATTTCATTTAATCAGTTAAAATATCAAATGCACATAAATGCACACATTGCCCTGCAAAAATTACTGGCATTTTAAACTTTAAGGAAAAATCTTTTAAAATTGACAACATAATTTGTTCATGTAAAGCTGGACAATAGGAAACCTTTTTTGCCAATTCTTAACAGTCAAATCCACTCCATCGATTACACTTATGAGTTTCTCCAAATTCTGATTTCTGAATAATGATCTGTTTTCATGTGGGAATGGATTAAAACTTATATTGGGCTCCCATGTGATTTTGGAATTTCAATTTGGAATTCAATTCAAAAGCTTTGCTTTTCCTATTGTTATTCATCTTTACTTGACAATACACAAAAACGATTCAAATGACCCTGATAAAATACTTTTATTTTTAAACACTAGAGGATGAACATTTGGTAAAAAATGCAAATACACGGTTGCAAAAATTGTTGCAAAAATGCAAAGAATCCTTTACTCACGTGTATAGGACGACCTAGGTTTTTGAAGCAGCAAAAAATGAATAAAAACCTCATCTTATATGCAAGTAAATACAGTAATAGCTTAGTACTACACAATAATAATAATTTTATAAACATTATATAAATCTGAAATTAGTAAAATTTAACAAATTAGGATAAAATATATATATAATTCATGATAGTAATTTTGTTTATACCATGATAGTAATTCATGATAGTAATTGTTGTTTATACCATACAACTATTCAGTCAATTTGGCTTGAATGAAATCTATTATTTCTCATTATAGTCAGACCTTTTAACTAATTTAACTGACTTGTGAGTGTGTCATTTTTTCTTATTTTCTATTTCTAATATCAAAATGATATAAAATCTGATTGAGCATTTTCAATCAAATTTTATTCAGTTGATCAATCAGATTAATTGAGCTATAAATGGACTGCTTTCTGATATTATTCTAAGCTCTCCATCTTTCATTTTATGCTAGCCAGATCTTAAAATATATCTGTTTACACTGTGTAAGATAATGAGGAACTGTATTCCAACTAATTTGCCCATAATGGATAAAATTGAGTTTTGTTATTTAATCAACTAGTGTGATAACAACTCACATTAATAAATCAATGCTGATTATTATTAAAATGAAGTTTTCATAACATCCAAAATTGATTATTACTCTTTTATCTCTAAATTTTCTCAAGAAGTCCTTTTATATTCTGTAAACTAATACAATTTTTGTACTCTTCACCATAAACTGATTTCCCCCCAGTCCAGCTTATTTAAGAACTTTACTTCTTACCAGTTAAAGCTCTTATCTCTCTCTTTTTTTTTATATATTGTCTCCTGCTGCATCTGAATTTGATGAATCCAATAATTTTTTATTTTATTTTATTTTATTTAAGTTAGCATGCTCTATATGATTATTAACTTGTAATGGTTTTCAGCACAAAGGAAGAAATTATAACTATCATATATTCTAAACTATCATATATCTTTCAAAATACTAAATTATTGATAGTTATATGACTATGGTCATATAACTATCAATAATTTAGTATTTTGAAAGATATAGTGTGATCACAGTTGTTATAAGGATATATTAACATGTTATTTAGACTAAAGTGACAATCACTTTTGCTAATTACAGTCATTCCTCAGTATTCATGGGAATTGGTTTCAGTTGGATACTAAAATCTGCAGATGTTCACTTACCTTATATAAAATGGTATAATATTTGCACATAACCTATGCACATTCTCCCATATAGTTTAAATTATGTCTAGATTACTTATAATATCTAGTATGATGTAAATGCTTTGTAAACAGTTGATATACCATATTATTTAGGTAATAATGACAAGAGAAAAGTCTGCACATGTTCAGACAGTGAAAATTATCATAGATCTAACTACACAGTACATGTCAGCAACAAAACATTTTCATTCTTTCTACACTTATAGATTGTTTTCATTTAATGATCTGGAAAAGAACTTTGTAGAATAAACACAGAATATTTAAAATATGAGTACAAGTAAATTCAAGTTTGCTTTTTGGAACTCTAGAATTATTTTTTTAAATTTTCAGATGAAACCTATGGATACAGAGGACTGATTGTATCTTATCTTATATTTTAATTTAAACAAATATCAAATTTTTGTTTAAATGAGATTTAATACATTTACATAAAACTAAAATATTGTAATATGATTTATTTTCACTTTTAGTTTTTATCAAACCAGCTTCTAAGAGAAATAAAGAAGGAGAAATAAGTAAAGAGGTATTGATTTTGAATATATATTAGATTTTAGAAAATACATAATTTGATATGATTAAATTTCACTATGAATAGAACACTGCAGCTCATGATAAATCAGATACTCATTTATTAGTAAATAGCATAAATAAAGCTGTATATTTCATTGATATTACTGTCTCTGTAAAAAAATCTTAGTTTACTATGTACAACTTTTATTTTTCAAAGTAGCTCAGAAAAAATTGATTTTCTACTATATTTTAAGAATGTTCCAAATTTTAAAAAGTAAGACTCAACATTGTTTCAGAAATTTTCTTTATTGAAGTGATGAATAATCAGTGTCCATAAACTATCTGCATCGATTTATATGAATGATTAAATAAATGCAATCAAAATTTGACGATTCAAAATAAGTGGAAAATCATAATCAAATTTGTTCAAATTTATTTTGCTTTTTTTCTTTCTGTGTAATCAATCTAGTCACTTTAATTATGAAATTAAAGTTTTTATAATAAAACATTTTTAGTGAAAGTTTTACATAATATATACAGAATATATATTATGTAAAATATTTTCTAATAATATATATTNTAGCTAGGTAATGTAGACATTAACGGATTTCGAGCTTTAGCGGTAACATATATATAAACATCAACTCACAGCCCGAGTATATAACAACATCACCATTGGAATAAAGTAATGTCAAATTACTTTATTCCAATCATTTAAAGTAGCCATATTATATAGCCCGATAATTAGGCGATCGTTTGGTGATGTTGATATATTATATATATTTCTAATATTTCCTATATATATAGGATATTTTTAGGAAATATTTTTGTTTACATTTTGTCAAAAATAATTTTTAGAATTTTTCATCAAACAATAAATTTTATATATTTATATTATAGGATAAATCTCCATTAACAACAATGGATTCAAAGCAATTGATTCTTAATTCAGGGTAAATATTATATTAACTTAAATATTTTTTAATTTTATTTTGTAAAAAAATTAAATTTTAACTGGACATTAAAAATAGAAAAAAAAATGTTTACAGATAATAATGTATTATTTAAAATTTTCTGCAGCACTAGAAAAAAAATACATATTCTTGAATTTAAAATTTTTTAATCTTTACATTAAGAATGATAACAAATATATGTATTCATTAAAGTATAGTATAAAATTAATGGATTTGACTACCTGTTGTGAGACTGGTCAGATCTGTGATATGCATGTTAAAATGCTCTTACAGTGTCCACAGATTGAAGAGAGGACAAAAAATATATGTTTAATAGTATTAAAACATTAAATTTGTACAATATAGTCTCACAGTTTTACACAAGGATTGCATGTCAGCAGATACAATATAAAATAAAACAATATTTCTTGTAAATTTGTGCTCCAAACTAAATAATCCTAAATGGTTGCCTAGACACATTTGTAACTATTTACAATTAATAGAAAATCGTTAAAATGTTTTATTTATGTTTTTACTGTAATGAGTAACATTTGAGTCCAGTATTTCTGAATATACAGAGCAAAATTTTATATGAAATTGAGTACACTACTTTGAAAAATACCCGAAAATCAAGGGTAGTCACCACAGTGAATAGCATTCAGTAGTTCTCACCATTCAGAATGTTAAAAACTGGAGAGAAATTTTCTTACTTTCTCAATGGATCTCAGTCTGAATCAGATTCAGTGACACTAGGAGTGAGTTAACCTAAATTTTCCATCTGTCAATCTGCATATAATAATTCTATATAAAACAAGAACCTTACTGTAATTAAACCTATAGTTATGGCCTTGCACACAGCTGGCTAGTTACTTGTAGCAGCTATTACAAACAGAAACATAATAAATATGATAATAGAAATATAACTTTATTGTACTTACTTTTATATGTTGAGCCATTGTGAACAAGTTTAAAAATCTGTTAAAAATGCTTATAGATATAAGTGAACTTTGATTGAAAGTAAACTTAAGTATGTTAAGTTAGTCAAATTGTATCTTGTAATAATTTACTTGAAAATCCAGTGATCAAAATAGATTTTCCTTTTCTTTTCAACCAGTACAGATGGAAGAACTTGAGTATGAAATGACAGCATCTGATGTCCACATTTGCAATTGTACTGTACACTATAAATCTGAATATAACATTGAGCAAGACTTTTTCACTACAGTAGTAGTTTGATGTATCATAACCACTTATTGAGCATGTTACTTTGAAATATCCAACATCACTTAAGATCTTTTCATCAAGCCCAAAGTTAATAAATAAAAAGGGATAGTCATACTTTGGATGAAAGTTCCCAAAATGCATATATGACATTGACAAAATAAAGCATTGATGTGGATTAATGTTCTTTTCCTAAAGAAATAATTCACATCTGAAAAATTGTTTAGCTTACTGATCTTGTCTCAATTTGTCTCAATAATTGACTAAATAGAGGAAAAGAAAGTAATATCTTTATTAAGAACTGTTATTTTGAGATATTTAAAGTTTAACTTTGAGTTCTTTAATAATTTTTAATGTACAAAGGAGTGTCAAAAAGTAAGTTGCAATTGGTGAAAACTTTTCGTTCATAAACAATATTTAGACGAAATCTGTTGGTAACACTGGTAATAATTCTGATTACAAGGCATAGCAGATTTGTTGAAATGAGTGCAGATGTTAGTCTATTTCAGTCATGAAAGATATTGCATTATTTTGATGTAGTGTCCAAATTAGAAGCTCTTGCAATAACTTGTTTTGCAACTCCACTGAAATTCAATGTCAATTAAGGGAAGTGAATGGTGAGAAAGCACTTTTGTGCCAGGTGGTTTCAAGATGGTACATGTTGTTTGAGAATGAACACACACAGACATTGAAGATGATCATCACCAGTAGGACACCATCAATTTTGACAACAAAGGACAACACTGATCCCATTAATGAACTGATTGTGCAAACAGGCAAATCATGATAAATAGGATTGTCGATGAATTGAACATTTTGCATAGAAGTGCACACATCATCTCAAAGTGTCTACAGCTTCTGTACTGTAGGTTTGTGCTCAATGGGTGCTTCATCTATTGACAAATGTCTTGAAAGGGCAATGTTTTCAAACAGCTCTTGTGTTTTTGGATAGTTATTACACAGGACAGAATTTTTTAACCAAATTATGACTGGAGATGAGAAATGGGTTCATCACTTCTCACCAGAACCAAAATTAACTTTGAAATTCATTCCCTTTCTCTTTCTCTAAAAAAAGTGCCATATAGTTCCTACTGCTGGAAAGGTAATGCTGACACTTTTCTTTGACAGTGATGATGTACATTTTGAATTCATGCCAAAAGAGACTATGATTAATGTGGCTGTATATTATGAAACTCTGAAGAGGCTGAAAAAGGTGATTAAAGATTGCTGGCCAGGAAATTTGTCAAAAGGCATTGTGCTTTTGCCTGGCAATGCCACACCTCATTTAGCAGGTGTCAAAAAAGCTGTACTGGAAAAATTCAAATGGACTGTATGGAAACATTCTCTTTATAGTCCAGACCTTGTGCCTTGTGATTTCCATGTGTTTGGTCTTATGTGAAAAGACCTTTTCATATTGCTAATATAGATGTAGACATTACAAATGCTATACAAGAATGGTTATCACATGTTGGTTGGGAATACTTTAAGAAGGAATAGGAAAACTCATGCCTTACTATGATAAATGTTTAAATAAAATAAACTTCCTTTATGTCAAAAAGTAGCACTTGGATTGTATAGTCACACAAATAAAATTTTTGACTTGTATATTTTATAATTGTGTTTTTGGTATGAGTGCAACATTTGACTCTCCCTCGTAGGATTCATTGTATATTAGAATTATCTGTAACTTGATATTTGAGATTAAAAATAAGATAAAAATAATCTTTAGTGCAGTTAAAAGTCATCAACTGTCTTAAAAATATAATTACTTTTAATTGATGAAGCATCATGTAATAATAAGTACATATGTTTTATAATTTTTTTTAAATTAGAATATTATGCTGAATTCTCACTCTAAAGGATCCTATATTGGAATTTTTCAGTTATCTATCAGAATTCTTAGAAAACATTTCCATAGTTGCACATATATGAAAATGTAATGAAGATCTCTTGCAATAACATTAGCATTCCATTTGTTTAAAATTTTAATATTCAAGATGAATTTTAGTCAAAATCCAAATTGTTCATATTTCAATAATAACACTGGTCTACATCAAAATTGCCTTTTACATGAAAATGTACTTTAACTATAGTTTTCAATTTATTGAATCTAATTACAGAACTTAGAAGTGATAGTTAGCTCGTATTGTTCATTTATGCTACATGAACCCCTTCCTGTCTGGACCCAAGATACTTGGGCATTGTACATAGTGATTTTTAGATCTTTAGATTACAGATCTTAGATTTACAGATCTAGATCTTTACATTACATTTAAAAAGATTGGACTCCAAGATCAAATCTGTCCCCCAGAGAAAAGAATGTCAAGCATCTTCCTCTAGTGGAATCCCAACAAATTCTTCTCCCACCTTTACAAATTTAGTTGGGACTAATGAAGAACTTTGTCAAAGCTCTCAACAAAGATGGACCAGACTTCAAATTTCCAGAAGTAAATTTCCACGTCTAAGTGATGCCAAAGTAAAAGAAGAAATCTTTATTGGTCTTCAAATTCAAGAAATTCTGAAGGAAAAAAACTGATTCAGTTTTATACGGCTTTGAAAAGGAGACATGGGAGTCTTTTAGAGGAGTTGTTCATGGTTTTTTAGGCAACAGGAGATATGAAAATTATGATGAGCTTGTAAACAATCTTCTACAAAAGTATCAGCAGATGGGTTGCAACATGTCCCTTAAAATTCACTTTCTTCACTCTCATCTTGATTTTTTCCTGCCAACTGCGATGAAGTAAGTGACAAACATGGCAAACGATTCCACCAAGACATATCGACAATGGAAAAAAAGATATCAGGGCCGGTGGGATGTGTCAATGTTAGCGGACTACTGATGGAATTTAGAGATACCCCTGAAAGTGATTACAAAAGACAAGTGAAAAAGAAGAGAAAGTCTTGATTAAAAAATGTTATAATGTTTTGGTATTATTTCTTAATTCTCAATTTCATGAAAAAGTTACAAAAACTAAATAAATTAATGTTTTTTTTAAAATATAGTTGAGGTTCTTTGAAATTTTACTTAAATTCATAGTATTTAATATTTGCAATATTTTGAAACCAAGAGCTAATTTTAAAATTTTATTCGTATATTCATATTCAGTGACCTTAAATTAGTATAAAAAACATAGCATTTATTTAAAAGGCACACAAAAAGTTTGATGATGTAGACCAGTGTAATTAGTGATTGTAAAGCTACTAATTCAATTCCTTAAATTGGAGAATTGCTCAAAATTGACTTGGTGGTCACACTTAAGAATTGTGTGTGCATATGTGTGTGTGTAACAACTAAATTAAACTAGTATATAATTAAATAAACTTGATACTAATATACTGGTTTTCTTTTACAGTAGTTTTCAAGGTCAACATTGTAGTAATTCATTGTATAATTCATCATCTTGGAAAGTCTTGGGTGTTCCTCCACCGAATTATGGCGATCTCATACCAGTTTCAAATAAGAATGTAGAAACCGTTCAGAGGCAGCTTTGGTGACTTTTAATCTCTTTCTACCTGTATACTTAATTGGAATAACATCAGGCATACTTTTATATATTTATCCACTTGTGTTCATCTTTGTCAGTTGAAAACTGATAGAAATTGAGATTCAAGAGTGTAAAAGTCATCCAACTTAACATCATTTACAGTTTTTTTAACAATTTTAGAATTTTATTTTATAGATTTTATATATTTTTTGTAATTATTACAGCTGTTTTTTCTTTAATTTATTAATATTACAATTTATATTGTTTTTAGAAAAGTATATTTATTTATTTATTTATTGAATTTTTATGTAAAAATTTCACAATATATTTATTTATATAATTTTTTTTTATCTAATTAATGATCATCANTAATTATTTATTTTAATACAAAAATATAATTTTATATTAAAATATATAGCATGAAGTGAATTCAAAATTCACCCAATGCTATTTAACTATAAATCAAAATTAATTTCAATAAATGCAATAATTGTATTAAATAGCAAGACATTGACACTTAGAGATTAAACATAAGTTTGGAATGTCGGATTTTTCTGTGATAATTATCTTCAATTACATATATAATGCTTGTTATAATAAATATAAAATTGTACTTTTAAGAATATAAAATTTATTAAAAAGGAGTTAATAAAAATATTTCAGATAAATTTTTATGAAAAAGAATTTATTTTAATAAAAAGAAACACATTTCTTGCTCAGATTTCTTGCTATTCATAAGTATTGAGCTGTAATTTTTTAATGTATTTAAGAATAGATTACAATACGTGTGTACTAGTGAACTATATATATTATATAATTAATTTTCTAATACCCATAGTCAATTAAAATACCCCTATTTAAATGATGTCTAGAGAAAGATTTAGCAGTCTATATGTAACCAAATTTAATATGGTGGCTTTTCTGTAAAAAGTTAAAAAATTAAAAAAAGTTTTACCAAAATGTACTTTTGGTACTGCAAGCATTGAAAAAAACAGGTTGTTTTGCATGAGCACAACTGTTGAATGTCACCTTGTTAGATATGATGGTCATCACCTTGCTGCAATGTGCATTTATTTTGAAGCTATTTTATGAAAACAATAGCAATGCACTTTGGAAATTTCGCCATCATAAGACTTTATGCCAAGAACCATAAGCTCTCATGAGAATGATCATCCATTTCAAGAAAACTAGACATCTGGGAGTTCAACCTGATAGAGAGTACAAACCTATTACTTTAAATTAAAGATGTTACCACAGTAGTTGTTGAACAGTCAATGAATAACGTTGCAAGTATTGCACATGCAGTGTGAAGACAGTGGATGCATCCTATGGCAATGTGGAAGTTACTGAGAAAGCTGGGGAATTGTTATCCATATAAAATCACAAACAGCCAGCAGCTGCTTGCTGCCAACAGGAAAATCCAACTGACTTTTGCATTGACTATTCTTGCCAGAATGGAAGTGTATATATTCTGGTCATGGATGATCCTGTGGAGCAACAAGGCACATTTTAACCTCAGTGGAACAGCAAATACTTGATGAGTATTGCATTTGGCTATGGAACATCTCATGTCTTCCAGCAGATTCCACTGCACTTGTCTAAAGTTACAATCTGGTGTAGACTCTTAAAGAATCTTTAACTGTCAGGCTTTATATCAAGCTATAATAGTTTTTATTTAATTTTTAACAATAAGTCTTGTGAATTGTGACCACATTTTGTAGTTCAGATAATGAAATTGCAATATGCAATACCAATACCAACAAGACTCAGATACACAACTGAATTAAAGAAGTACATAAAAAATCATAGTATACAATACAATATGTATACCAATATATGGCCTAAACGAATTTATGGTGCCCGCGATTAATTTTTCAATAATAGCTAGACAAGTCCGAATAGCTCAATGAAAAATTCTGATGCCTAAAAAGAAAAAAAAAAAAGGTCAATAACTCACTGTGTGTTTAGAGTTAATGCTCCATTAGAAATCTCGTAAGTACAGTGTAGAATGTTGATAATGCATGATAATGTGAAAAATGTATCTGTAGTCTCTATGGGGTGACACCACAATGAGATCTCGCACCACCTCAAAATCTTCCTCTGGTTTGGCCCATGAAAAAAGTTTTCTTTCCAATTTGGCCTGGGGGCAAAAACTATTGGCCACCTGTCTTAGGTGCTAAATACCTTGTACACAACTCTGTTAAAAAAGGATGTGGTTTGCTTATCTATGATTTTGAGGTTTTCATAAGTGTTTGGTTACTTTTCAGTTTCCTTAAAATATGCAGAAGCAGTAAGCAAGTTTATTTATGTCTAGGAGATAACCTTCCCAGACATGTTTGTACAAGTTAGCTATTATTGTTTCTGTTTATAGAAAAGATGTTAGTGTTATCCTGCCATAAAATATTGTATTTTCAAGATCTGTGACCATAAGAATGTCCTTTGCTAAATATGTTGATGACTAAGCTGAGAAAAGATACACAATTTTAAAAATTTTGCACTTTTGTATCTTATATAAAAAGATGATAACATAAAATTATCTTTAAACAGCTTAAATATACAACAGTGCTCAAAAAGTAAATAAGAAAAACTAAAAAAGTAAGGTTTGCATGTACAAATATTTTAGTTAGGTTTACTTGAAATGATGCTGAAATATTTTACAGAGAATTTGATTTTTTGAACAGTAAATTAGAAATAATAATAAACTATTTGAATGTAATTTTAAAATATTTGTTAATTTTTATGAAATAGGTAAATAAAAGAACTTCTTGTACCTTTAATATTATTATACAAAAAGTAATTTTTGACAATACTAACAACAATATTTTTAAATGCCAAACATTATTGCATAAAATACTTGCATAATATGAGTACAAGGGCTGAAATAAAAATAGTGAGAATAAAAGTAAATAATGAATAAATTTATTTTTTGAAAAAAGAAATTGAAGAGTTAATATTGGATGTTTAAGAAGTTTTATCAAAGGACAGAAAACTATTTATTTCATTAGTTCTACTATAAATATCACTGTCAATTGATTCCATTAGTCCTTTATTTAAAAAAAAATTTGTATATAACAAAAAGTAAAAAAATATAGCACAGTATAACTTACAATATTCATTTTAAATAAATTTTTTTTACATTTTTATGTTAATAAGTTTTTGTTTAAATAAATATATCCTTTAATGATCTTGTTAACAGTTTATTAGTAAGTAATCAAAGAAGTAATTAGAGTTTGTAATGTTTAATATATTAAAATCATGGTTTGATAGGTAGATATGTCTTGCATTATTTTAGAATTCTTTTAAGAAACTGAAGTTATTCAAATAAACCTAGAAAGAATTTTTTCCTTAAGAAAAGTTGAAAACACTTCTCATTCCTAATATTTTAATCACTTTCAGGAATGTGTTAGATCCATATGATATATTTTATATTTTGATGATCAACAGAAAATTTGACATTAAGAACTTTTAACTCCATCTAAATTTTGACAGAATGTGTTTTGTTTCTTTACTACAAATATCCAATATTTCAATATTGTTCTTAATCTAAAACTTTTATCTTTCATTCATGATGTACATTATTACATACCAGAAAATTATTCCTGTTAGAAATATTTTTAAAATGACTAATTTCACATTATCTAAAGATTATAATTTTCAGTTCCTTAACTAAAAAATAAATATTTGCATTTTCAAAGACTGTGGCTATTTGGCCCTATGGTATTACAGTTAAACCATTTTTCTAATTGGTTTGAACTAGAAACTAATTTTTTAGATTATTTATTTATATTTTATAAGTCATATATATTTATTTAATACTATGTTTAGGAAGATGAAGATAAAATATAGTTATCCATCATGAAATGCCATCTGAAATAAATTGAACAGATTTAGAATATTAATGATTTCCTTCTTTTAAAAAATAATTGAATATTTTCTAAGAGGCAGATTATCAATGTTCTAAGAGTGTCTTTTAAAAATATTTGTTCATTGCTTTTTGCCCTTAGGTACAGTACATTAAATTTTTGTGATAAACAAAATCAGTTATTTAAATAGACCCACAATTGCCATAAATAATTGGGCTATAATTTTGCAATAATAAATATGAATTACAAATGAATTTGGCACTAGAGGGAGGCGTTAGGTGCCATCTTGTATTAAAATTCATTCATTCATTCATTCATTCAATTCAAAGTTTATTTATCATATAAGGCTTTTGCCTGTTACAAGGACGTGATTTACTTATACAGGCTTGTATTAAAATTACAACTTGTATTAAAATTAATAATTATATTTAATTAAATAATTTGGATTAAACTGAAAGAAAAGAATCAGCCCAAAGTAGGACTTGAACCCTCAACTCCTGCTTACTGTGCAGATGCATTGCCTGTTACACTATCTGGACCTCTGGTCTGACCTCCTCTTCCAGTATATATAAGATATAACCATCATCAGTTATTACAGTGCTGACTAGGGATGCATTTACGTCCTTGTTCAGAAACATCCTCTCAAGGCAATCAGTTGGCCACCACATATCCAGCAAGGTATAAATATACAAGTATTTATATTTGTATATTGGGCTATAACTTGGCAAATTATAACCTGATTATTTATGGCAGTTGGGGTGTCTATTTGCTATACATTGGGTTTTGGTTGGTGTTTATATTTGTACAGTTATTTAAAGCACTAAAATTTAACTAGTTTTGTTATCATAAAAATTTTTTAAATATTTGTTTTCCATTGGAAAACTTGATATCAACTTCAAAGATCATTGTCAGACTTGCAAAACCATTTATTTATTTAAATTACAATACAAGATGTGTTGTATCATTAATTAAATGATTTTGCAAGTCTGACATTAATTGTTAGAATGTGGAACATGATAAGCATAAATTGAGTCCTTTTAACTCAAACAAAAATCATCAAAGAAAGCCAAAAAGTTACTAATATTTACTTATTGTGGTTTTTTTAATGAGAATACATAAAATTCAAATTAAACAGTTTAAAATAATTAGCTTCTTATCTCTTCATTTCAATAATATATTCAATATTTTCTAAATATTTTGCATCTGGAGGATGCTGTATATGTAATTATAATTAGATTTATATTAATGTATTAGTTTCTAAATTCCCAGATTGTGCTGATTATATTAATTTTAAATACATCCTAAATAATTATAGTAACTGTTTCAAATGTCAATTCAGTGGCTAAATCTGTACTATACATTTGCAAACTTATAAAGAGGAAAGTAATTAATACATTCT